GATTCAGTTTCAAACCTTTATTTTCTAGGTTTGAAATTTCGAACTCGATTTTCTTTTAAAAGATGATTTGAATATGTTGAACTTGTTTTTTTATTTACATAGCTCATTTGATGTTCCTGAATCAGTTTCCTACCTTTATTTTCTAGGTTTGAAATTTCGAACTCGATTTTCTTTTAAAAGATGATTTGAATATGTTGAACTTGTTTTTTTATTCACATAGCTCATTTGATGTTCCTGAATTCGATTCCTAAATAGTCTGCCAGTTCGACCAATATATATCTTAGGACATGTTCCACACTTCAATTTATGCACTCCGGATTTCTCGAATTTGAATGTTTTATCTTTATTTTTCAACTAACTTTTCCAATGTATTACTTGTTCTAAATGCAATTTTAATATCTCGTTTCCTCAAAAAGGAAACCCCTTATTCCGTTGTTTGTCCAAAATACGTTGAAGCTCTATAGTTTTGATTATCTAACTTATAAATAGGAAAAACGTCTCGAATCGCTTTTGCGTAAACTTTTTTGGAAAGTATTTTGTTTATTATACAGGGGTGCGCAAAAGTTCAAAATAAAACTGATATCTTTTTAAACAGTATTTTAGGAAAAAACGCTGAAACACGTCAGTTGATTTCACGTTGTACGCATTTTATGGCAATAAAATGAAATATTTTTTTAACCCTTCAGCCGCAACCCTCCCCAAGTGATTATTGTTAATTTGTATCTTGCATTTCAATTCGTATATCCTTTGTAGCTTCCGCGGTACGACATGACACACCGTCACTTTGATTATAAAATATTACTCATTGTCAAATGCCTATTATGTAAAAAAAAATGAGGAATTATTCGTTTCGGACTTTATTTTACCCATCATCAGTCCTTAAACATTAGTTTATCCATGTTTTAGCCCTAATGATGGATTCAATTGAGTTATAACCGTTGTAAAAACTTCAAATTGTTCATGTACGAAGAATTGTTGATTTTTTTCTCAACTAATAAGCATACGAAAATAATATTTGGATCACCAATTGATCATCAGGAGATCCCTTGTATATTCGATCACTTTCTCTGTAGAGTACTGGGAGATGAAGAAGATACTCCAAATAACACTGAAATCTCTCTATTTCGTAACTACATATTTTTTTTAGTTTCTTCGTGGATTTCTATCAATTAACTCGAATTAGGTTGCTAATCGATAGGATTTCGAATTGATTTGTTAGCCATTTGGTCAGTTTACCTTTGGAAAAGACTACATATGAGACAGTTGGTCGCCCCGATTTGCTTAACATGTGGCTTCTCAGCAGACTGAACTGAGTGTAGAATATTGACTCTCTTTGAGGAATACCTTCAAATTCAGTTTCTGATCAGAGGCCAGAAACCAGAGAAATCTATGCCTTTTGTTCACTCTTCTACATGATAACACAACACAACAAAGTTTCTGTTTCGGGGTTGAAATTAGATGATTTTAATGTATTTCCACGTGTTAAAACCAAAAGTGACCATAAAAATTATATATTAGCTCTTGTTTTCAAGATATAGTATCATTATATTATATATATGTATATTGAGTTTTCAACAAATGAAATATTTCATCACCAACAGTTGGTACACATGTTTGTTTACATAACACCCCTCTCATCAGCTGTTCTTAAGTAGTAAACATAACCTATGTGAGTTTGTCAATTGTACGCACGTGGTTGCTATTGAAATTATCGTGTGAAGTTGATTTTTAAATTAATTTAAGTGCTGATCTGAAATGCCTCGAAAGT